AATTTATAGATTTCTGTAAGACACATCTCTTGTGAAATAATGGAGCAAATCATATATTGTCATATTGCTTGCTTCTTGACATCTGTAAAGTTATTTCGCCCAAGCCAGCATGGTTTTCTCGAAAATTATTCTTGTGACACTCAACTTGCTTTCTTTTTGAACAAATCACACGTAAACCTAGAAAGTAACATTCTAACTGACAAAATGTTTTTAGATTTTGAAAGTGCATTGGACAAGGCGGCCAATGATCATCTTTTCATAATCTGAGCCATCTTAACAACAACCTCTTTTAAAAGGACACTGAAGAGCAAACCGTGTTTTTTTTTTTTTGCGTAATAGTCAAGTATAACTTCACAATCCAGAAAACAACCCTCCGGAAAGCACAACACTATGCTTAGTAAGCGAAAAAATGCACGAAAAGAAAGTGCGGGTGGATACGCCACTTAGAGAATGCTACACACAAAACTGTGACGTTAAAAAGTTTTGAGGGTGTCTACTGTGTCTTACGTAGTCTCCAAGCGATATATAAAGGTGTGGGTGCCATAGACTTGGCATGTTAAGTTTCAGAAAGATTTATTGAGCCAATGCCACGAAAATACCGAAAATACATTTTGACGTTTCTTACGTCACGCACCGGAATTTCGACGCGAACTTTAAAAATTAAATTTGAACCTTCATTTTCTCCTGTGAGATTGAACCTGTGATAGTGAAACATATGGCATCGAAGCTCTCAAAGTGCACTTTGTTCATCTAAACCAAGTCACTGTTTCTATTTGGTGTCCCTTTAAACTTAATTCGAGGCTTTAAAACGCCCCGTCAACAATTCGTTTTTGCTAACTTATACTCTTCATCTCTGACAGCCGTAATGTCAGTTGTACCGCGAGGTACCGCAGCTCATTTCCCTTTCTTCGTAATAGTCGTTAATGACCTCCCTTCAAATATTTTTTTCTCACATCTGGCTATTAAGAGATCATTGTGTAGTCTCCCGCAAAATTACTAACCCCTCCGATCAATGCATATTACAATGTGATCTCAGCTGCATACAGAACTGGTGTAAATCTGGGCTGAGGTTCTTGAATGTATCTAAAACTGTGTTAATGTCTATTCACTATATTCAGCATTAAGTTGTTCAGAACTACAGTATAAATATCAACCATATCCATACCGTTGATTCGTTTAAATCTTGGTGTGAATATCTCGCATAGGCAACGGATCTTTCGACAAGTTCCGTGGTACGTAAGTTTGCCCATGGCCTAGCTTGTGTCACTGCCCGTATGAGGGGCATTGGTGAATCGAAGCAAATAAAGCGCACGAATTGCTTTTCAAAATAGATCGTCTGCATGGCGCGCAGTGCTGTAATATCCAGAAAATGTGATCGCCGTAGCCTACAGTACGAATCGGTGAGCTTGTTTAAGGTGTGCGAAGAACGCTACACCATCTCCCACTAAAGGAAACCATGCGTAGATACAAAACAGTGGGCACTAACACTTATACTGGCGGCATCGTTTACGCTGGCACTCATCGCCGCGTTGAGCAAGAGAAAAACCTGCGAAGGCGCAAAGCGCGCAGTCATGGACTGGTGTTCTGTTTTTTTTTTTTTTTACTGGAACATGCCAGTCGCTGCTGATGGGTACTGAGAAACAAGACTCCGATCTGGTACAGGGACTTGCAGTGCGCTTTTCGTTAACGCGCACGCTGAGAATTTTCATTGTTTATCAACGCCCAGGAGAAATCTCCCACCGACACTACTTCGGAGGTGAAGGTCAAGTGCCTATATATACGGGGTGGCCAGTGAATTGTTGCACAGTGGAAGTAGTCGGTTCGCTCAATCAAGAAACTCGCTAGGAGACGCTGGCTGCGGCGGCATTTCTTGACGAGAAGGGGAAGGTGGCGTAAGAGAGTAAAGTGAGGAGAGGGGACGCGCATGCGCAACGGGGTGTAAATGCCGCGTGGAGGGATGTCTATAAAAAGGGGAGCGAGCGTACGCTAGCAGCTGCTACCTGCGTCGACGCTGCGAGGCGACAAAAGAAGGGAGCGTGAGAGCAGTTTGAATGCGCATGTGCAGTGAGGATAGTCACGCCACACACCGCATTGAGCTCGACCATAACCTACTTCACATCTAATATCTGAGCCTCTTTACTGACTCTTCAACACGTGCAATACATGAGGAATAACAGATTCACCAGGTATTTCTTATCAGTAATACGCGCTGAAAGTTCATTGCAGCATAAAGAGAGTTTGGCTATTAGAGTTTTTATTGAAACAGCGCAAAGACGAATCACAAAAGACGGGGCAACACGAGCTCGTGTTGTTCAGTCTTTCTTCATCATTTGTCCTTCCGCTATTCCAATATGAAAGTTCTCTGACATATAATTAGCGCCCAACTTCCTGGTGTGGAAAGCTAGGCAAATTACTTTCCCAGGTTTCCCTCGCACAGTCGTCACACTGGCAAAGTGGTCTGCCTCCGCACTTCTTGCAATGCATGGGCAAGTACCTGCCTGTGACAGCTGCAAGGAAAATGCGATGCTTACGCAGGTGCTCGTTAATGCATCGGTCCATCCGGATGACGTAGGATTAGCCGCAAGAAAAGTACCTGATAAACTACAATCATTACAAATTTTCTCAAGGCACTAGTTATTTTCTCTCAACTGCTGCGTACATATTAATTTACTGTTGTGACCCTGTTGCAAGTCCTGGCTAGTTTTTTCAGCACTCAAAACATCAGTGTTATGCTCTTCCTTGTGGTTACCTGATTAATATTGTGAGAGAAGCCATGTATACATGGCCTTACTTTGACCTTTTTCATCTCTGGCTAAGCTTTCGCCGACCTTCCCTGGCTTCTTCCTCGTCATTCTGTTGTACAAGGTTTCATTCAAGTTTGACAATAGTGAATTTGCGAAACTTGCTGAAGTTACCCAGGCCTTTTGAGCATCTAAACTGTCTTGCATGCAGTGCGTGCCACTATTCTTTTAGGTCATTTGTGAAGCACAACGAAAGAATGCCTCTACTTTTCAACGTAAAGTGGGACGATTGAAATGGACGAATCGTAATACTTAATTCCTTGAGGGCCTAACGGAAACTCTTTCGTAATTCTCCTTTGCAATACGTCCCAAAAGTAAACTCCCTTCTAACAGTGCTGAAAATCGTGGTCAATAGTTTCCGGTTTCCAACAATTAGACAGTGAGCCTAATATGTAATTCCATGAGGGCCTAACGGAAAGCCCCTTTTAATTGTCATTTGTAATACGTCCCAAAAGTAAACTCCTTTGCAACAGTGCAGGAAAACGTGGTCAATAGTTTCGGGTTTCTAACAGATTAGACAGTGAGCCAAATACGTAATTCCATGAGGGCCTAACGGAAACTATTTTTAATTGTCTTTGTAATACGCCCTTAAAGTGAACTTCTTTCCAACAGGGCAGAAAACGTGGTAAATCGTTTTCGGTATCTAACATATTAGACAGTGAAATCCCCAAGACATATAAAACCTACGCTCCTCTAAGAAGGTTCTTACAGCAATTGTTCGGTGTGTAACTTTAAAAAGAACGTTTTGCACTTGGAGCTGCTGGCATTTTTTTTAACTTGTTTAGCGACATTATGTACTTCTCACCCATATCTCCCTTTTCCACACCCGCTTTATGGCATTGCTCTACCAAGTTGCCCATGTATGCATCCACCGTGCGTGGCTCTGTTTCCTCTCCTTTTTTTTTTCTTTCTCTCACCATTTCCGCTCCTCTAACTTTCATTTCTCGCCCCATAGCTATGCAACGCTTTGCTTCTACGTTCTGCCAAGCAGTGACATCAGATCACAGCCTGTCTCATCAATCTCACAACGCTCCTCCAACGTCCCTTTCTTGCCCACTCACATGGTTTCACCTACATCATGCCAAGCAACGCGAGATGACGACGAGAACATCGGACAGCCCACGTCTTTCAAGTGCTCTGTGCTTAAAATGCTGGGGCATTCTCCCGTCGGGAAACTGGGGCAAACAAAATATGTGCTCCCACAATTCAGGGTTGTCTTCGTACGCCATTTCTGGCGAGACACGTTGATTTGAGATATACACACTTGATATAATGAATCGCATTATAGCTGTGGGCGGCTGTGGCATGTCCTTCAAAAATAGCTTTCAGCTCACGTAAGTGAAAATGCGTCCACAAGGCGTGCCTCAATGTTGACCGGGATATTTCTTTGAACGCATAAATAAATCAAAACGACTCCGCATAATTACCAGTAATACATTTACAGTAAAATATCGCCATGCCAAGCGAAAGCCACCCTTACTTCTACTAAGTGGTTCTATGAGAGAAAGGAAGAGAAAAGTGAGCCCCGTAACTGTCTGCTTCAGCGATCGACACCTCAACAGTAGCTCACAAGAGATGGGAATGAGGAGGGATTAAAAGGGTAGGAATAAAGGTGTAGAAAAGAGAAAGAGGCGTGAGGTGGTAAGCCAGAGAGAGCGACGACAAATCGAGGGGATTGGAGAGATAGGAAAGATGGAAACACGGTCACAGGAGTCCGAGGACGGGGCACCACTTGCGAGAGCTCTTGTCGGCGTCAGTAGATGGCGTAGAGCAAGTCCAGTCGGTCAGAGCTACACTGTCGTCGAAGGTCGTCGGCATCAGGAGATGACGTAGGGCGAGCCCCGTTGGCCAGAGCTACGCTGACGTCGGAGATCGTGAGGGCACAACCGGTCGGCATAGAATCCAGCAAGCGAGTCCACCACCCTTACTTCTAAATGCGCTTTCATGCGGGGTGGAGGGTACCCTCGGGGATGAAGCGAGAATCACGTGACAACGACGTCATCAATCAATCAAGTTTATTTTGTGTTCATTGCACCAACAGAGAGAGGAGCGGCAGATAAAAGCTGTCTTCCTACAGCTTGACGAGCCCGCCACCCTCATTCGCTCTCTCTGAATGGATTGGCCATCTCCGCTTCTTCCTGGAGTATGCATTACTTTTGATATAGTTTAAGCAAGGTATCTGATGGTGTCTCTTTGCAGAAAAGCCATCGACATCAACGTTTTAGGCACAAGAAGAGTGTTGGAGCTGTGCCATAAGCTGAAGAACATAACCGTAAGTTCACATTCTCATTTTCGCTTTGCACACCAACAGGTGCGCAGGTGGCTTCATGCCAACTATAATCCTAAACTTTATTGTCGGCTACATTGCCAGTGACATACCGTTGGTTTCGTGTTGCTTTTCTCGCCAACACATTTACCTTTGTGTGTTCGCCAGCCTTGCTCAGGAAAGCCCACATAAACTTTGTGCTATGTATACTTCCGTCTGTTACCCATTTGAAGGCAGTAACATGCTACAAAAAATTGGAAAATTCTGTTTAGTGTCCTACTTAGCGGACCACCACTATGCTCTGTAAGGTAATGTTAGCGAGGAAAAGAAGTGTGTGAGTCACATATTTTAGTCATTCGTAATGAGCATTGCAGAAGGCGACAGAATGACAATAAACAGAGAAGTGAACAAAGCTGTTAATTTCATGGCAAACGAACTTGAGCTATGTACTAGAAAAATAGCTTACAAACAAGCTCCTTTGTAAAATGATCAAAAACGATACAAGCAGGGCACGTTACATCAGACGCAGCTTCAGTAGGCAGAAATATAAACAATTTGGCTCAATAATGGTGACGCAAGCAGTTTAAACAACGCCCGCCCAGCCAGCGAACAACGCTGCAGAGAGACAATGATGACGATTCCTTCACAGTGGCTCCAAAGGGGCCAATAAAAAAAGACCTGTCAAGTTAGACGAATCTGGACATTAAGTAACTGAAAATTATTTTAAATGATTTACCACGTCAGAATATCTTAGCTTTGTGATGGAAATGATAATGAATTTCAAACCAAGATTGTGAACTGGCAGTTCTGTGTACGAATACAACCGACGAGTGCCACTCTTTCGAAATGAGATGCAAACGACTATACGTCTCATCTCGCTGCTGGCTTTCACGAAAGCGGTAGTGTTGGGAGCCGGTGGAGAGAGCATTTGCTGGTTTGGTGGTTAGAAGGACTAATAGAGTGAGTGTGCGTGGCGCTGCGCGAGCCATCTGACGCCGCGCCTGCGCTCTCGCTGCGCCGGGAGCGCGCACCTGTTCTTTTGCTCGGCGTGCTTGCGGGTGCAAAGAGCTTCCACGGTCACGGCGGTGGTGGTGACAGTGAGGTGCGGGCCTATGGAGCTTCAATACTAACAGACAAAAATAACATGACGATCTCGTACAATAAATAAATAACCGTAGGCCACGACGACGACACACGCCTTCGCTGCACGCAATTGGTTCTATATAACTGTCACCAGCGGAAGAAGTTCAGCGCCGCTCGTGCAAAACTCTTACATTTTTTTGTTCTTATTTCAAGTTATCTTCAATAGATATTTCTTTTTTTTTCCTTTCATAACCACAGGTCACGATGACACGCGCGTTCGCCGCGCGTGATCGGATCGCATATGACTGTGACAAGAGGAAGAAATCAAGAGCCGTGAAAAAGTGTAGAATTGTCAGTTACAATAAACTGAACTGTAGGTGCAGCTGTTCACATTTTGTTTCTGCATTTATTTCCATGAACACTGTTCCCGTTTTCCTCAAGCTGCGAGGCTAAACGCCACGTGCTTGTGCGTGGCGCACTATGAAAGAAAACAACCGGCACAAGCCGCAGCGTGGCTCTGCGTGGTTATAATGAACATATAGTGAACACTGTGACCTTCAGAAATCAATCAATCATTTTATTTCCTTTTTGTTAGGAGGAGTACAGGACTAAAAGCTCAAGAGCTTCACGAGGTCCCGACCCCGTTCACAAGTCGGCAAAGCAGCAGGAATGGCAGACATTCGTGCATAAAGAATATCAAATGAACTCATACGTAAAACATTGCAAAAAGTACTACAAAAATTCATGAAAAGAAGCATTGAATTTAAAAACAAAATAGTTGAAATATATAGTAATGAGGTGGCACGAACATGAAAAAACAATAATAGAGAGTAAAAATTGGGCCATAAAGTATGAGAGATGTATTATTGAGGAAAATATATCAGCTGGGCAAAGTTTTTAATTTGACAGTTTTTACTTGTGCGTTTTCACTTGTGGCGTTTTCACTTGTGGCGTTTTCCAACTTTCCAGGCCTTCGTCCACGTGTCTACAGCTTACTGCTTCTGCAACAGAAACCACGTGGATGAAATCGTCTATCCCGAGGAAGTGCCTTACCAGAAGGTCATCGATGTTTCAGAGTAAGACAGTGTTCAAGAGCTTGTTCCGCTGAGCCGATTTTATACAGATAAAAATGCATAGTTGACAAAATCTTCGCTTTGAGTGTGAAATGAATCAAAGACTACTGTGTTATAAGCTGCAGAGCCACGCCAGTGCTCGACACTGTGTTGAAAAACAAAGCAAACAAAACTTCAAGTGTATCGTGCAGTGGACCCGCCAGGGTGGTCCAGTGGTCATGGTGCGTGACTTCTGACCCGAAGGCCACGGGATCAAATCTCGGTAAAAATGCTCGAGGCCCCCGTATGTATGCTTAAATCTAGGTGCACGTAAAAGACTCCGGATGGTGAAAATTTGCGCAGCCCTTCAGTACGGCGTCCCTCATGATCACATCAGAGTTTTTGAGCGTTACATCCCAATAGTTTTTACTGTGTCGCGTAGTGCGAGCATTTCCCTTGACTCGTCTAATAATGTGCGGCATTAGCGTGAAATCGCCCAGGCGCCAAAACATGAACTGCGCAATAACTAGTTGGTCTATAGTCCCACCAAAGTGGAACTTCAGGCCAACCATCGCTCTTAAGAAGCGTGCCTGTTCGGCTAAACGAGTGCATCCTTGGACGTAGTCACTCGCGCAGAGAAGCTCGACATGTCTATTAGGTTGCGCATGCTCCTGGGCTCACGACGTCAGATCCCCGAACTGCGGCAAAATGTCGCGCCGCGGAGCAAGGCGGCCTGTTCGAGCACTCTACATAGACGTGAACGTGGTTGTCACAAGACGCATGTGGCCGCAATCAAGTTTGTTGAATGTTGTTTTTGTGCCGTTTATGGAATTGTCATCTAATGCGGCCACTGTTACATCGGGCATTCTGGCCACTGTATAAAAGACTGCCTCAGAGAACACCACAATCTAAAGCGGGATTCTGTTGGCAGGCACTTAGCTACGCACAGCTCCGTTTGCGGGTGTCATACAATGTGTCATCAATGCAAGATACTTCGGCGCTACAGAGATCGAGGAGCACGTGAGATTTATGAGGCATTCTGCATAAACAAGAAATGTGATATGTGTGTCAGTTCGCCTTCGATAATGCTCCTCGCCAGAGAATTAGCGTATTTAAGAAGTGAATGATTGCGTAATCAGTTTTTTCAGATGCATAAAGCATAAAAAAGTTACTCTTTCATGTCACTCATCTCTCCCTCCTTTACAAGTATCGTGAGCTATATATACCCCTCTGTATGAAATAAACCTGGGTTGTAAGTCAGCGCTTCGTCTGTCTTTTCACTGTCCTGCTACACGCCGTTTTTTTCTCTTTTCGCTTTGTTTATTATGTACCAACCGGCCCAAATAAGCACTTCAGCTTAAAGATAGCTTTTTCAACTGCACAAAAGGTACTTATCTAAGATTATTCTTTCGTGTGATAAATATAGTCCCTGTGGTTCCTTTTTTTTAAAAGAAGTGTAGCAGCCTGCTCCGAAGAAAACGGGGTCCGAAAAAATTCAGTAACTCTTAACGTAATAAAAGAGGGCTAGATTCCTTGTATTGGGGATCCTTTGATCTTATTAACAGCGGCTAAGGTAGTTTCACAAATTGACAAGTTAATCTTGACTTGATCTTGGTTCTGTGAATTCGCAAGCAGCCCTTTCGGTTGTTCTCCGTTTTTTTTTATATCTCTCTTTTTGCACTCTCGACCTGCACCTTTAGTTTTTTTTTTTTCGAGCATCTGTGCATGTTTTTATGGCACACACCTTTGACGGAGCCAAGTTTTTGTCACATTGAATTAACCAGCTGGTAGTTCGCGTTCATTGCTTCCTTACTGTGCCTGTTTCTTTCGCGTGTCTATGTTTACAGACCGTTATTTTAAAGATTCATCAACACCAACTAGCCCCCTTATAGCTCTTCTAAATACTGTAGTCCGTGAAAAAATCACAGCCTTATCACGAAGTGAATGATGAGTGGGGCGAAGCGTCCTTCAGTTCGTCCGAGCCTCCGTCCATCCATCCGTTAGTTTTTTGCTTCCGTTCCTTCCGTGCGCTCGTCCGTGAGTCCCTCCGTCTATGCGTTCGTCCAACCGTCCGTCCATTCATCCATCTGTTCGTCCATTAGTATATCCATTTGTTCGTTCGTCCGGCCGTGCGTGCATCCAGTACATGCGTCCGTCCATCCGTCCGTGCGTTCATTCGTCCGGGCGTCCGTCCATTCGTTCGTCTGCTTGGCTGTCTGCCCATTCGTGCGTCTAGAGAATGCTCCGAATACCACCATCTCGTATCTTTTCACCATATATTCACCATATATAAGTAGCGCTATTGAGCGGATATTCCGAGGAGTAAGTGAAGCGGCAACCTACTACTACTACTACTACTACTACATACATCACAGACGCACGACCCACGGCTTAAGCAGCTTCACACCTGAAAGGGATTTATCAACCTGAATAGCAGGTGTTAAAAGACCTAATAGTCAATTTTTCTTAGGTATTATTTAACTATATGTAAGGATGGGCTATAATTCTTGTTTGTAATGACAGTTATATAGCGAAGTGCAGCTATACGCGGGTGCAATCTAAGAATTATTAGAAACTCCGCTTCCAATACTGCTGCGTAGATGTCATTCACGTGGGAAGCATAGCAATTATTGGCAATTTTCGTTCAGCACTAAGCACTTTTTCTCTTATCTAGCGAATTCATCGCATATAATAGGAATTAAAAGCTTGTCGTCTCGTCTTAAAGTGTCATGATTAGCTGAGCAGTGGAGTCGTAATGTTTAATGAAATTTGCCATCGAGTAAACTTTTTTCGAACGAAAACTATTCAAATAAAAATGTGCCTGTACGACCAAGTCTTAAGTGAAAGATCCTGACGTCACGTAAGTGAGCACTTGCGATTAGTTAGATATTGATGCAAAATAATGCGAAGGGTGGGACGCTGACCTTTGTGGGTGGAGCTTACATTTGTTCTAAGGTGGTAACCAACTATAGCATTCGATGAGGAGTGCCCCGCCGGGGTAGTCAAAGTACTCGGCTGCTGGCCCGCAGGTTGCGGTTGCAATTTCAATGGACGCGAAGAGTCTGTTAGGCCCGTGTGCTCATATTTGGGTGCACTTTAAAGAACCAGAGGTGGTTGAAATTTCTAGAGCCTTCCACTATGGCGTCTCACATAATCATATGGTGGTTTTGGAATGTTAAACTCCACATATAATTGATCAAATCAGCATTGCATGAAGAGCGTCCTTGTTTCTTAACTGGAACATTGGCAGGAGCACCAAGCATTGCAAGCGAGCTTTTCCAAATTTATAGTAGTAGTGAGCCTTTACAAACCAGTGTTGGGCTGATTGCAGGTGGCTGGAAGAAGAACTTCAAGAGAAGATTCAGAGCCAGGTGATGGGTGGCCGGCCGACTACGTACCACTACACCAAGGCCCTTGCCGAGAGCCTCTTGGTGCACGAAGCAGCCGATCTGCCGGTTGTCATTCTGCGCCCTTCAATTGTCACTTGTGCAGTCAGAGAGCCCTTATCGGTAAGTGACACAGCTCCTAATATTTTTTTCTGCTTCTGGCACAAAAAAAAAGACCAAAGACGATTCCTCGAACTTAGTGGAGAAATTATAGGGGAAATAACCATACGTTTCTGAGTTCAGAGAGCTTTTGCGTGCCCGCGCTGTCACACGTGGTCATCGGCCTGCCGAAAGAAAAATTGAACCCTTTTGAACTTCGTCAACCGATTTCAAAAAGTAAATCTAAAGGAATAAGGTAGTGAAGCGCAACCGCTGAGCAATTGGTGATTTTTGTTTCTTGAGAAAACAATTACAAGCCACACGAACACACACGGAGCCAAAAGCATGCCAGAAGTACAAATATTAGACAAATGTGTGCACTACCCATAATTCCAAAGCTCTCTGAAGCGCCGTGTGTTGCAGCTTCTTTAGACACTAGCGCCAAAGTTCCTTCTAGTGTATGTTAGGAAACTCTATGGCACAAGGTATAGGATGGTTAGGAAAGGAAAAATATTTTGAAAGGAGAGATAAAGTGAGCATAGCTCAGTCAGTAGGGCACCAGGCGCTTTTCATCGTTTCCCAAGGAGTCAGAGGCTCGACGCCTGAAGGGAAAGCTCTTCCTTAACTACTTTTTTTTTCTCATTTATTAGCCTGAACTTCACAACGACCTAGCAAGGATAGCAAGTAGGTGGAAGTGCACATGAGTAGGAGAGTGGAAGTTGCCACTGCATCGCCAATGCTTTCCTCTGCGGGCATGCACGTCAAGCAGGTTGCACGTTCGATACACCAGCGCAAGCTTGTGTGCGAACGCTAGCACCACCGACGGGCAGCCAATCACAGCTTCGCACTTCTTGGGGCTCTCATGTGGAGTGTTACTTTCTTTTAACATGAAAGCGTTTTATGCCGGGGTCTGCCAGGGCTTCAGTGACGGATTTCTATCACGGAAGTGACGTAAAAAAAATCCGCATGATCAGAAGACAAAAAAAGCGCATGGCTGTTCGCTCCGTCATTGAAATTGGTATAACTCGAAAGTGAAACGTGTCTCCATAGAAGTAGTGCTTATTGTGTAGTAAGGTGGGAGTATGTACCATTTATAGCGGTGTTTTTCACCTGTATAACACCGTTGAACATGAACAGAGGCATGCTGACGCCTGGTGGCAAGTCTCCATGGCGACGACTACCACGTATGATCATGATTTATACGTTGTGGCAGCTGCAGTTTTTGACATATATATCGAAACCCAGTGTATCGTTTATCGCGCACAATGTACGTGACATAATAAAGGACACACAAAACATTGCTACTCGATATCCGCGTCTTCAAAGATTGTCAGTTATCGAGAGAAACACCACGGTGTGCGCTCCTGAAGCCTACGCCAGCAAGCACGCATACTGCGCATGAGCAACACGAGGCGCAAAGGTTGGTGGCCTAACCGTGAATACGCACTGGCGTTCCACGTCTTGCTGGCCTCAGTTTAGTTTCACCAAGGCACTAGATTAGCTCGACGACATCGTTGCCTTGCTGTAGTGCTTACTACAGCAGTTTTATTATATAAACCAGTGGTATCACACGCGAAGTAGTCAGCGGTGAAACATCGTTGGTGCATGTGGAAGCTCGAGCACTTCAACAACGAGCTGCTACGCGCTAACACGAAACGAAAGGCACATAACTGCGTCAGAAACTCTCTGATGCTCGCTTAGTCAGGGTTTTCCACTGCTATCGAGAAGCCTTAACCATGGCTTCAAGACTGTGCGCTGACGCGCAGTCTTGGACGTCGTGCCTGAGACTCAGACTGCATCATGCCGCATTACCTCTCCTGAATACTCACAGACGGTGGCACCACCCGACTTTGCCTACCAGAGAGCATAGAGCGAGACGGAATCTGCGAAAGATATAAGGGGCGTTCGTACGAAGTTAAGAAACTGCCTTAACAGCTCAGTCAGTAGAGCACCGGGCGCTTTTCATTGTTTCCCAAGCAGTCAGAGGCTCGGCGTCTCTCATAATCATCTGGTGGTTTTGCGACGTTAAACCCCACAAATCAATCAAGGAGTCAGAGGCTCGACGGCTGAAGGGTAAGCTCTTCCTTAACTACTTTTTTTTCTCATTTATTAGCCTGAACTTCACAACGACCTGTTTGTCACGGAAATACGTTACTGTAGTCTTGGTGCACCCCGGCGTAAAACACTTTTGGGTCAGAAAATTACACCATCTCCCGTTAAGAGGGCCATGCATAGATGCGAAGCAGCAGGCTGTAACGTTAATGGCGCGTTTACACTTGAGAGTTGGAGAAAACCGAAAACGCCAGAGCAGCCGGAAAACCCCGACCACGCGCGTCGAAGATGTTCACATTAGTTTTGCCCCATCCCACCGCCGCTTCCGCCGATACCTTGACAATTAATTCTATTTCATCTGCTTTCTAAGAACTAAAGTTCGTTCCGAACTCTAGTTATTCACGCAAAGTAGTAAAAGGAAACAGCTCGCACATTTTCGAACGTTGTTTTGGGAGATAAGCCAGCAGAAACGACACGAGCGAACGCTCCGGCAGTGGTGGTGGCGCATTCAGCTGGCTGTACACAAACGAGAGACACGTTGGGGCATGCCGATTCGCTGCCGCTGCACCGTCTACTTCCAAATTTCTGAGTGATCGTAATCACAATCAGGCTCTCGATGAACGTGTTCTCATTAAGGCCATCAAGCTTCGTCGTGCTGCACAAGTGGTTTTTGATTTGGGCCGATGTGAGCCACCGCCGAGGCTTGTGCCGCCATGTTGAGTCTGTGGACGGCTGGTTAGGTAACGTGATTTGATCTAGCGCAGCCAAGGCTATGAAGCGGAAACCGGATCTGGTTTAGCGTGGTGAGAAAATTGTTCTCGGACCAATTCTTGCGCGCCAGCAGCGTGGCGTGGTTTTCTAGCGGCGGTGAAACGAGCCAGTTTTCAGAGATTCGCTGGTTTCGCTCTCTTCGAGGCCAAGTGTGCGCACGCCTTTACGCTGGCGGCGACGTTGACGCTGGCGACCATCGCGGCACTTCGCAGGAGAGAAACCTGGGAAGCACAAAGCACGCAGTGATGGATCGGTGTTTTTCACTGAAATATGTCAATCGCTGCTGATTGGCAATAACAGACATAAGACGTAGAGGCCCACAGTACGCTTTTAATTACCGCGCATCCTGTGAAGTATTATTGTTAAACAACGCACAGGAGAAATCTGCCGCTGGCACTACCTTAAAGGTCTAAAACCAGTGCTTATATATACGTGGTGAACAGTTAGCGGTTGGGCAGCGTGAGCACTCGATTTTTTTTTTCCAATCTAGAAACTCGCTAGCACACGCTGTCTGCGTCAGCGTTGCGAGGCAAGACAGGGGGAAATTAGAGAAGAGAGGCAGGTGGAGGGGACACATGTGCAATGGGGGAGCAAACTCCTAGGAGAAGAATGCTCACATGAGAGAGAGGGAGGAGTGACCGTACGTTAGCAGATGCTGTCCTGCGTCAGCGTTGCGAGACGAGAGAGGAGGAGCAGACGAGCATGCACAGTAAAGTTGGTCGCGGCGCACACCGGAGGGAGCTCGATCCTAAGCTGCTTAGCATCTAAAAAGTTACATCATCTCCCGCTAAAGTAAACCATCTGTAGATGAGAAGCAGTGGCCGCTAACGCTTCCTCTGACCGCGGCGTAGGCACTGGCGCTCATGGCGGTTTACACAGGAGACAGACCCAGAGAGGCGTAAAGCCCGCAGTGATGAGCCGTTGTTTCTTACTCGAACCTTGCTATCACTGCTAATGGGCAATGAGAGACAGAAGACTCCGATTAAACACGGATACCCCCAGTCCACATATAGTTAACGCTTGCGTTGCGATTACTTATTGTTCAACAAGGCACAGAAGAAATCTCTCACCGGCGCTATTTTGGATGTCAAGATCGAGTGCTTATACATAAGAGGTGTCCAGAGAACGTTTGTGCAGTGCTAGTGGTTGCTTTTCGGGGGGGGGGGGGGGGGGGAGGGGTGAAGCTTCTTAGGGAATAGGCTAGTTCCGCGTTGCCATAGTCACCTCCTCTAATTTTCGGAGTGCTCCCTAGGTGGCATGGGAGCTATTCTTTATCACATGCTGTGACTTTCCGGCTGAAAAGTCACAGCATGTGATAATCGCCGGGGACTCGAATTTAAATCGATGCACAGAAGCCATCAAAGAGAGGGTAAGAGGTGACAAGAGGGTTGCAGTAGGGGCGTTCCCAGGATGCAAGCTGGAAGCAGTCATGAGACAAGCGAGCGCAAAACTCAAAACTACACCTGATAGACGAAACCTCGTGATAATTTCAGGCGGTTTAAACGATGTCTTAAATGAAGATACAGCAGGAGTAGCAACTACACTGGCGAAAGGCGTCGATGACATGCGCGCCACTTCTCCTCAGGTACAGGTAGCGATATGCACGATACCTTAGGTACCGGTGCGTGATAGCAACCTGCAACGAGCGGTTGTCAGCGCAAACCAAGAGATATGGGGGGATGAGTCGAGAGAAAGTCTTTGAGGTGGTGGGAAAAAAACAGACGTGCATAGGTGGGGTGGTTTTCAGCGAGACAGAATTCACTTCGATGGGCGGCTAGGTCATGAGGTGGGTTGGCGACTTGCAGGACGCGCAGTAGCTTTTTTGGAGGGCAAGCGGGCCCTTCGGGGTGCAGGATAGCTAGTAACGAGGAAAACAACCAGGGAGACTCTTTGACAGGTGCTATGGACAGGTACGATTCCAAAGTGGCACCAATATCTAAGATAGGTACAGTCCGGGGCAGAAATAGACGTAGCCACAAGCGCTGAGCCAATTCAGACATAGGGTATATTAACATGCAGCGTGGTAGGCACAGGCTGAAGTGGGAAGAGACAGAAAAAATTGCCCGCAGCTTCCCTCGGGGGAACACTGAGGAGGATGCGGAGCATATAATTGGTTCACGGGGTGTTAAAGTGCGACTTACTTGGGTCGATGGCTAAATTGGTTAACGTGGTTGTGAAATGGGGTGTTAAATTGCGACTTA